TAATAGTACCAGTAATAAGCAATATTGTTAATGTTATTATTATTATTATTTTAAAGATAATCACATTTAATGGTAATAATGAAATTTATATACAGGAACACTTAATTAAGACAATCAAGATAATAAATAGATTAATCTGGGTAAATTGGAGGGGAAAATAAATTTCTTATACCTGGATTAACTAACATGATAAACCTAATACATGGTTCTGATACATAATTAAAGGTAGATGTGTCCTTTTAGGCACATAATATATATATTTATATAAAAGGGCGTACCTGGATCTATAAAGAAAAAAAAATCTCAAAATATTTCGAGAGATTGCTCCCTCTTTATCAATTTATTGTACAGTAAACTTAATTTATAGATTCTTGTAGATCACATGAAAACAAATTCGTCATTGGTCAAAAATAATTATTGATAATAATACATTAAAAATTAAAAAAAATAATTATATAAACTTAATTAGTAAATTAAATTCAATTGCCATCTATCGTTAGAATTTTACTTAAATAAATTTACTGGCAATGCGCTTCTTTTAAATATCATCAAATATTATCTCTACAGACCTTACTGCAATGATATGAGTTATTGAATGAGAGGGCTTGGCTCATCAGTAGTGAACCCTCTCAGCGGTTTCGTAATAATCTAGTAATCTTTCGTAATCTCAGCAATAGAGATTAATTTGGCGAAACCGCTGAGAGGGTTCACTACTGATGAGCCAAGCCCTCTCATTCAATAACTCATATCATTGCAGTAAGGTCTGTAGAGATAATATTTGATGATATTTAAAAGAAGCGCATTGCCAGTAAATTTATATGTGTAAAATTCTATAAACTTAATTGATGGATCGCCTTTTGACTCAAAAACATAATATATATATGTTATATAATATAAAGAAAAGAGAGATTTTGTGTAGTATTCTTGATCATGTTGAGGATTATGGTAATGCAGTCGTGGTTGAAAGCTTGATAGAATAATAATAAAAATGGTTTTGATCAGTAATTGCTTTTATTGTGCTAAAGGAATATACACTGCGTGACATTGAAAATGGAACACCAAGAAATAGTGGCCAGAAAATTATGCAAATTTCAGGGTAGACGCGCCTAACCGAGTTATGCAAATGATGTAAAATGCGCAGCTCTCGTGCGCACATGGAGTAAGATATAAGGGAAGGAACTTGCAGAAAGGACAGTATTCGTGTCGTTATTTCTTCAAGGAAAATCATTGTAGAAATTTTGTTCTTGTGTCAAAAGACACGTGTAATAACAGAGAATGCCAGGTCATCGTAAACGGAGGCAGTTCAAGCAGACAGACGCTTTTACGAGGGGCATGGTGATCGGACTGAAAAGGGCAGGTTGGTCCATACGTCAAATCGCAGCTGATACACACCTTGGTGCATCCACGGTGCACCGACTGTGGAGAAGATGGTTGGAACAAGGAAATGTGACAATTTATAGGAATGTCGGTGCAACCAGAGTGACGTCAGCACGTGTGGATCGGCGTATCCTTCGACAAGCAGTGGCGGCCCCACAAGCCACTTGTACCGCCATCCTGCAACATGTGCAAGACACCCTAGATCATTCCATCTCGACCAGAACCATTTCCCGTCGATTGGTTGCTAATGGCTTGCGCTCATGCCGTCCGCTAAGAAGACTGCCATTGACCCCACCGAATAGGCGCCAACGTTTGGAATGGTGCCGGGCTAGATCGACGTGGATGATGGAATGGCACAGGGTCGTGTTCTCAGATGAGTCGAGTTTCTGCTTGTCCAGTGATAGTCGCCGTGTACGCGTGTGGCGTCGACGTGGAGAAAGGTCCAATCCGGCAGCAATTGTGGAACGCCCCACCGTGCGACAACGTGGAATCATGGTTTGGGGCGCAATCGCGTATGATTCCAGGTCACCTTTACTTCGTATTCAGGGCACTATGACGGCCCAACGATACGTTGATGATGTGCTGCGACCAGTGACACTCCCCTACCTTCAGGGGGTACCCAATGCCCTTTATCAGCAGGATAACGCCCGACCGCACACTGCTCTCATTAGCCAACAAGCTCTGCAAGATGTACAGATGCTTCCCTGGCCACCGTACTCTCCTGATCTCTCACCAATCGAGCACGTCTGGGACATCATTGGACGCCGTTTGCATGCCTTGCCACAGCCGCGTTCAGAAGACGAACTGTGGCAAATGGTTGAGAGGGAATGGAGAGCCATCCCTCAGGACGCCATCCGTACTCTGATTGACTCTCTACCTAGACGTGTTGCTGCGTGCATCGCCGTCCGCGGTGGTCCTACTTGCTACTAAGCCGACGCCGTTCTCGCTCTGTATTATGACTATCATTTTGAAATAAAGATCACTTATTGTTCGTCCCTGTCTCTCTCTGTCTGCCGAGTTTCATCACTTTCTGGCCACTATTTCTTGGTGTTCCATTTTCAATGTCACGCAGTGTATAAAAACATAATTTGGTAAAAAGTAATGCCTGGCTTAAGGTGAGTGAATAAAGAAAACAAAAGATTATTTACATAATGTACAAAAGTTTTGAGCCGACTAACGGGGAACAACAACAACGAGTTTTTATATGCAAAGCATGACCTCTGGCGGTCGATTTAGCAGTATTTGTATCTATGAAATATATTTTTAAATAAAATAATATTTTAATATAACATTTTAAATAATACCTTTATATAACATATATATATATTAATTTTCTGTCAATTTAATCATTAAAATAATAGTATCACAATTGAGAAATAAACTATCTCAATTACCTTCAGAGCTAAAGGTGTGTGTTTAAAAAGAGAACTTTATTAAACTATTTCCAGAGAAGAGTGAGAGAGGAAAAAGTTATATAAATTTGAAAAAAAAACTTTAATTTTATCTTTCTCAGAATTTTGAAAGGTGGATTTTGTGGACTCTACCTCTAAATTGGAAAGGAACTGCGCTCCTGGAATAATATTTAAATTTTAAAAAGTATAAAATGCCAACTGTGTGAACCAATCCATTGAAATCTCAATTTCTTCACAAACTTTCCCTGTAATTATATATCAGTGACCTTTCTATGACACCGTAAATATTCCAAAAAAGTTGGAATTTTCGAAAACACAAGAAAATTTTCATTGAATATTCCAAACTAACGGAGCGCGCTTTCTCTTTTAACAAAACAATATATATAAATATATAAAAATAATGGAAGCATATCCTGACCACGAGCACATGTGCTTTTCAGAAGGCAGAGCGCCATCTAGTGGAACAGAAATCAACTAAATTTGATTTAACCTGTTCCCTGATATTTGGCCAACCCAATTTCTTGATAAATCAATAAAAGCCATCTACGAACGCGTTTCGAGCTATTGACGCTTTTGATTTATCAAGAAATTGGGTTGGCCAAATATCAGGGAGCAAGTTAAATAAACGTTTAGTTTATTTTTGTTCCACTAGAGAGGCTTCTGAAAAGCACATGTGCTCCTGGTCAGGATATGCCTACTTTGTTTTTAATATCAACACCTGATCTTTTTATTTTATTTTTTTGCTATTGTTTTTTCATATATAATATATATTATAATCTAAAATGCAAATATTTTATTTTTTTAAAACATATATTTTATTTTAATTCATTAACTGTTCTACATTTTTTGTGTGTTGTGTGTGACCATAGATTCAGATAAATAACTATCTTTCCTTTTTCACGACTGCACCTTCAATTCTCTCATCTTTTCAACATCAGAATATTATAATCATAACATATATATATTGTCATTTCTACGATAATAAAAGTATTATAAAACAACACTTAAAGTTTCACCGCATAAGTTTCTTTTCTGTGAAAAATCAATACTTATTTCAAAGAGAAATATTTACTATTTCTAACTAATTTGGATGAAGTATGAAAGGGTGAAAATATGAACTCTTCATATTTTCACCCTTTCATACTTCATCCAAAAAAGTTAGAAATAGTAAATATTTCTCTTTGAAATAAGTATTGATTTTTCACAGAAAAGAAACTTATGCGGTGAAACTTTAAGTGTTGTTTTATAATCATACGCCGCAGTCCTTTATAATGTAATAAAAGTATTATTGGGAGGGACTGGCTCATCAGTGGTGAATCCTCCAAACTGTTTCGCCTGTTTTTTTATATATATCGCAGAAAAGACAGTAAGAAATTGTTCTATTTTAGTCACACAAACAAAAGCCTTTATTAGGGACTTGCCCCATACAGATTCTCCCAATTGGGTAAGGTAATAATCGTCTTGTGTTATTTACATAGGTAGTAAGATAGAACTGGCTTTACTCTTCGTCTCAAAGTCATTCAATTGTTGACTGGTCCTTACATAATGGTGATCTAAAAAATGTATAGTAAGCTATTGCCTTAGATTTGTTTGCTGATATTTTTTAAAGCAATACGTAGGGCGAAATGTTTGTACATTTAATTTGTTGATATAGGGCCTTCCTCTCTGTATCAAGGGCTGTACAATTAAGCAGGTAATGGGGGAGTTCTTCAGTAATTTCCTTGTCACACAATGTACACAGTAAGAAATTGTTCTAATTTAGTCAAAGAATTGGTTGACGTTGCTGCAACTTTTCAAACCAATTTCCAATACCAAAATATGATTTTCAAAACTGATTTAAAAACTAGATAAAAAATATATATAAAATACATATTCCTTCCTGTCTTTACAGAGACTTGGCCATGGAATGCTTATTGATTTTATTTAATAAAATATATAAATATAATTATTTTATTCAATCCAATATATGCCTTTTTACTATCTAATGATTTAAGTATGGATTGCTCTAATTGCAGAACAATATATATATATATATATGTATTTAATTTTGGTGCGTATAGGTAAACTAGCCGAATGACCCGGGCAACGCCCGGGGTTTACCCGATTAAATGCTTTTATTCAAATACTATTCGTTACAATTATAAATTGGCGCCGTGGATGTCATTCTTGTATAATATATAAATGAGTTTTAAAAATTGTAAAAAAAAAAAAATGCATCGGCCGGGAATCGAACCCGGGCCGCCCGCGTGGCAGGCGAGCATGTTTATGAGAAATGGCTATATTTGGGTATTTATTCCATTCACAAAGCAAACGGTGACAGAATTAAGAATTGTTGATTGATTATGACGCTGATAACTGTATATATTAATGTGCTCTAAATTAAATAGAATTATTAATTATATATCAGCGTGTGTTTTGTTGCGCTATATAGAAATATTTAGTTGAAATTTGCATAAGTTCTCACCTGAAGGACAGTCACCGCCAGGAGAGTCGCAGTAGTTGTCAACTTGACTGAACGTCTCATCTGTCGAACACACAGGAAATCTTCAGTCACAGTTACCTTTATGGTATTTGTCCATAGTAACATACAGTATATACCATTAACTACACCTCTATACATTTCTTACTGTACTTCTGCGATGGAATAAAAAAACAGGCGAAACAGTTTGGAGGATTCATCATTGATGAGCCAGTCCCTCCCAATACTTTTTTTTATTATCGAAGAAATGACAATATATATATGTAGTGATTATAATGTTTTGATATTGAAAAGATAAGAGAATTGAAGGTGCAGTCGTCAAAATAAGCGCTTTCGTCAATTTAAAGTCCAACCCCACCAGCGAGTGCTAGTATCCAAACGGTGCTCTGGTACATTTGTAAGTGCAAAGTTGAACTGCTTTTTACATGTGTAAACATTTTTTATTATTAAAATGGCATATATTGGATCGAAATATCATTTATTTCACCAATATTTCAGTTGGCTGAACGCCAACCTTTATCAAGGTGTTATAACATTTTATGGAGACACTTTAAAATGTTATAACACCTTGATAAAGGTTGGCGTTCGGCCAACTGAAATATTGGTAAAATAAATGATATTTTGATCCAATATATGCCTTTTTAATTAAAGATTTATTTATGGATTGCTCTATTTTCAAAATGAGTATACATGTGCTACACTTACAGTAAAAGCAGTCGCCTACTTCTACCCACCATTATTAGCATGGCCTATACCACGTGTACTAGGGATAAGCAAAAAAAAAACACCTCTATATACCCATTATATCATAACACATCATTGAAAATATTCTAAACAAAGATCCACCATACGCATTACATACGCTATAGAATTCTACTCCCAATTACACTCATGGACAAAACTTAAGGAAGTGGAAAGTCTTTGATATCGCCGGTCGTCTATATATATTTTTTAAGGAGACAGAGGCAATTTTGTTTACACTTGGTTATCTCGTGTATCTTCAATAAATGTCACTGTAATATGTTTCAGAGTTATTGTCTGAATCCCGATATATATATGCAAAATGGTAAAAATTTCCTTATGCTTTGTCCATGAGTGAACTTGCCTGTCAAAAGAAAATGCTATAAGAGAATATTGTGAGGGTTTGGGGCTCATCAGTAGTGAACCCTCCCAGCGGTTTCGACAATTTAATCTACCAGAACGCTTCTTAGAATTCTAATACTGTATTGGATCATTCTGTTTATACATAGTGTGATCAATAATTTCCAGGAATGTTAAATATTTAAAGAAATACAAAAGTATAATAAAGTTGTATTCAAAATTTCTCAAAATGATCACTGTTACTATCTATACACTTATTACATTTTTTTTCCAGATATCAAAACACCTCTGAAGATCTTCATCTTTCAGGCTTTTCAAAATATTCTTCGTATTCTCCTTTATTTCAGGTATTGAGTCAAATCAACGTCCTTTTGAGACTTTTTTAATTTAAGGGTTAAGGAAACAGTCGTTGGGAGCAAGTCAGGAGAATAGGGTGGCTGGGGTAGTAAAGCAATTCCGTGTTTAGCCAAATAGAGTTGTACAGTGACGGCCGTATGTGGCCGTGCGTTGTCATGATGCAAGAGTAAATTTTTCTGATTCCATTTTTCGGGTCGTTTCTGACGCACAGCCTCCCTTAAACGTTTCAATACATCAAGATAGTAATGTTGATTAATGGTCTGACACTCGGGCACGTATTCATAGTGTACCAATCCCTTTACATCAAAGAAAGTGATAAGAAGACACTTAATCTTCGATTTGATCATCCTTGCTTTCTCTCGCTTGTTCGACCATCTTTAAATCGTGCAAACCATTCAAATGCCCTCGATTGTGATTGGGCATCTTCTTTAAAAGCCTGTTTCAACATTTGAAATGATTCAGAAGCTGTTTTCCTTATTTTTAAGCAAAACTCTATGCAGACTCGCTGTTTTCCTTATTTTTAAGCAAAACTCTATGCAGACTCGCTGTTTTTCAATACAGTCCATACTGAAGTTAGAAAATGTTCTGATATACTCGAGCTTATAAATTCTAAAAAACGTGAACGCATGCGTCTGTGTGATCAATTATTTTTCCACGTGTTGATAAATGTTTTATCTATAAGGCCCTTATAAAATTATTTTGAATATTTTACGTGATCCAGTCTCATTCCTAGAAATGAAATCTCAGAAATGGTATTCAAGCAAACTATGTACATAAACTTTTAGGACAGCAGAATTACATATAAATATTTGCATCGAGCAATGCTCTTCCGCAAACAATAAAAACAAGGTGAAAAAATAGTACAAATGTGAAATTGTACTGGACAAAGAAAAGAAAAGGCATTTACTTATCGTGCTACTGAAAGTTGATGATGGCTTGCGCCTTCTATCGGAAAAAATATCAACTATTCGTTGATTTTTAATACGCCCGAAACGCGTCCGTGGTTAGCTTTTCTTGATTATTCAAGAATGGGTATTTGGCCAATTTTGGAATAATTAAAAATGCACGAATATTTGATATTTATGGCAAAATGGCTTCACTTCGAACAGCCGCTGCTCGCGCTTTTGTGGCGCGTGATTTTTTAAAATTGGCAGGTCTCCAAGCCAAGGGCGACGCTTGCGTTTGCCAAAAACCGGGAGAAAATATATTGAGTTTTCAGGATTTTATGAGCAAAGTATCGAAACTTTTTGATCAGAGTAGTATATCGGGATTGAGACAATAACTCTGAAAGATATTACAGTGATCTTTATTGAAGACATACGAGATGAACAAATGTAAACAAAATTGCCTCTGTCTCCTTAAAATAATTAAATAAACAGATGACTGGAGACATCAAAGACTTTCCACTTCCTTGAGTTTTGTCAATGAGAGTATTCTAGATATTTTATGACTTTCTAATCATAGCTTTTCAGTCTCGTCCTAAATTTCCTAGAAAATCCCGGGTTTTTTTTTTTTTCAAGAGAATGTGCAAAAACCTTGTCAGAGTTTGATCCAAATACCGACTTCAGGGCATTCCAAATTGAGCCTCAAATATTTCAACCTTTATCATCACACCTTCAGTTTCTATTTTCAAAGCTGACTTTAATAATAATAAGGTGCCGTTGTGAAGGCTCCCATTCTAACAAAGAACCTCAATTGGTAGATGCTATCCACGGATCCAAAAACTTCTTAAGATGTTTTTCATTTTTTTATATATAAAGGAAAGTATTGAAGCAATATGGTACAAATATTCAAACATTTGTTTTGCGGATGTAGGAATATATCCAAGAAAAATTTGACATGCCTAAATTCTAGTGAACTGGGTCTTATCTCCTTGGCCATCTGGCTTGATGAAGACATCTATTTGGAGGTCTGTCAGGACCCCACGAATGCTAGCGCCTTATGCTACAGAATCTCGGTGGTACCCTTTGACCGAAGGCGACCAAGTGGATTTAGAGCTTCTGGCGAAATAGGAGAACCTTTCTCCCTCAAAGATTTCAAGGACGACCTCGGTAGGAAGTACATGACGGTGTTAGGCTGCTATAGCTCACCGAGAAGCCTGCCCTACATTATCCACAACGTCTGCGTTCTTGGGGAGCAGAAACAAGATAAGGTGGACATCAAGGAAGTCTACTTTCACCTCTTCGTTGGAGAAGAAGGTAAGGCTGGCATTCTGCGAGCAGTTTCCCCAACTGCTGCTAGCGATGCCCAGCCGTCATGCCCCTCGGATGTCCACCCCACTTCCACGGAACCCCATCCTACAGACTGCCTTCCTCTCCAGCCAACCACCGCAGATACCTCTCCCGTCCCTGAAGAACCAGCATTTCCCGACACTCAAGTTCTCCCCCAAACCACTGATAACCCTATACCCTCAGAGCAATAAAAGAGTTGAAAGGGTGAGGCCTCAAGCTCCCTCCTCCTGAGTGCCCCCCTCTCCTTTACCCTAGCCCCCGCCCTCTCAAGAAACACCGGCCCTCTCAAACTACCTTCTGTCTCCTCAACCAAACCTCCGTAACTTAAATCAATCAGCCACCCCTCAAACAAACCATCCGCTACCTTCCGACCTCTCTTCAACCATATCTCCGCTCCATCCGTCCCCTCGACCTCACCATTCGCTTCTGAACCCCTTCGATCTCTGATCCAAATCTCCCGCCCCCCTTCTCCATACCCCGTGTTACCTTCTGTCCCTCTCAAACCACTCTCTCAGTTCCTCCTCAAACCAACCACCTCTCAGTTCCGTCCCCCTCAAACCAATCACCCTCTGAGTTCCTCCTCAAACCAATCACCCACTCCGTCCCCCTCAAACCAACCATCCTCTCAGTTCCTCCTCAAACCAATCACCAACTCCGTTCCTCCTCAAACCAACCACCCTCTCAGTTCTTCCTCAAACCAATCACCCACTCCGTTCCTCCTCAAACCAACCACCCTCTCAGTTCTTCCTCAAACCAATCACCCACTCCGTTCCTCCTCAAACCAACCACCCTCTCAGTTCCTCCTCAAACAAACCACCCTCTTAGTTCCTCCTCAAACCAATCACCCTCTCAGTTCCTCCTCAAACCAATCACCCTCTCAGTTCCGTCCTCCTCAAACCAACCACCCTCTCAGTTCCTCCTCAAACCAACCACCCTCTCATTTCCTCCTCAAACCAATCACCCTCTCAGTTCCGTCCCCCTCAAACCAACCACCCTCTCAGTTCCTCCTCAAACCAATCACCCACTCCGTTCCTCCTCAAACCAACCACCCTCTCAGTTCCTCCTCAAACCAATCACCCACTCCGTTCCTCCTCAAACCAACCACCCTCTCAGTTCATCCTCAAACCAACCATCCTCTCAG